ATTTCGAAAAAAGTTTAAAAAGCCAAACAGAAATTTTCTTAATCACAAAAAAGCTATATGCTTGAAAACTGTTTTAGTTTTTTGTAACTTTTCAGAAAAGATGTAGTATAAGGATTAAAAAAAAAAAAAAAAAAAAAATATATATATATATATATATATATAACACATTGTAATAAAATTATATATATATATATATATATATAGTACCTGTGGTACAGAACACCGTGCCTTCATAAATCCATTATTATGAGATAAGACCAATATTGGTATTCCAGAGAAAAGTGATATAACTTCGTGCAATGACAAATATGTAGGACTTTTATTTAGACAATGCACGATAAAACAAGATGAAACAGTAGCAGCGGTGATTTCACGATCTACAGAAGCTCTATAAAAAATATTGATTAAGAGAATTATTCTTTAAAATGAGACATATTGTACTTAGATATTACGTAATGTGTGTACATTGCATACTTCTCATTTTCTTTCTCTCGCAACCATTTTGTTTTGCATAAGTTTTTTAGATGTGCCAGGCATTCTATTTTAAATAAGTAAGGTACTTGTTCAATCTGGTCATCCATTTCCTGTTTTAGTCGATTTACTTTTGTCTCAAATGTTTTGTATGTAAATTCGTCACTTTGTAAAGTATTTTCTAGTTCCGTAATTTTATGTCGTATTTTTTCACTGGCTCGTTTCATATGTAAAGCCTTTGCGCCAACAACAGCTTTAACAGTGCAGTTTGTTGCTCCCTTTGAGGTGTATGTCAAGAAGTAAAAATATTGTAATACACCTACATTGTGTACATGTGTGCCACAGCATGCTTCTCTAAACATAACCACTAATTAAATACTGAGTGGAATCGAGTTTAATGAATTCGTTAGTGTTTAAACTTTGGACTTACTAACTTTGTTTTCAAATCATCAGCATTAATCTCTATGATTCTAATATCTGTGTAAGGATATATTTCTCCAGGCACCAATATAATATCATCTTGTCCTAATAGCTGAAGTGAGTTTAACGTTTGTACAGTTACTGCAACATGAGAATGTATAACATTATTTATGCGATCTTCTATTGTTCTCATTTGTTCCAATGTAAGTTTTTCACCAAACGCATTAAACTGAAGTTTTAGGCTATCCTTGTCAACTATACAATTACGTTGATAAACTGTATGCATAATTTCTTTTAAAGTTGCATTCAATAAATGGGTTGCCGTATGATGTTTCATAGTACCAATTCGAATTTGTGAATCTATATTAACCAAGCAATCGTCTTCCGCTTTTAAATATAGTTCTGAAGTTCTACAAAGTAATAGTTCATTTTTGTACATATGTAGTTTATAATATATTTCATGTTAAATTAAAAGGTAAAAACAAATATCTTACGGTATGTCTGTTTTTTCAAACTGTCCGAAATGAATCACGTAACCGTTTACTTTTCTGACATTGTGTATATTAAAAAGCAGATTCTTGATGTGTATATTTCCTCGATCCGAAACTTGACCACCTTCGAACGAATAGCATACAGTTTTATCCAATATAATGCCGATTTCATCTTTGCTATTTAACATATCATTGACATTTATAGCTATTTTGCTATTAACGTCGTTAGATTTTGCAATACGGGAGTAATTTGTATTTGCAACTAATTTTCCTATAACATATAAAGTAAACATAGTTTTATAATAAGTTATATATAATAATTTTATAATCCAGTTTGTATATAGTAGAGACATCTTTATGTAGCTCTAAATTACCGTTAATAATGATTCCGACAATTTTGCTATTGAGTGGCAAAAACTTATAGTTACTTCCATCATATGTATAATCATATTTAAATGAATCATTCGTTTTAGGTACGTGATTTTTTTCAAGTATTCTCAAAGACTCATCAGCAAACACAGAATTATATTTGTTGAATCCAATTTTCGATTGATATTTACGAATATCTAATTGTTTTTGAAAGTCAACTTCATCAAAGTGTAATGATTCAATCTGAGCTAGCTCTGCTATAGTTTCCGAATTAAGCCCATATGTATCATACATTTTAAATGCAACAGCTCCCGGTAACACGTTAGTTTTACGCCTGTAAAAAAATAGTATTACAAATTAATATTACATACTTATATATAGGGTATCCCAGCTCGATTTCACAATCTTCCGTGAGAACGTAGAGCAGATTAAGATAAATAAGAAAGTCCAATACTGTTTTGTAAAAATCAATAATGATCGAGATATTAATTGTACAAAACGATTTGTGAAATGATGATTTGTGAATGATCACGCATGATATGGTGCAGATGAACTGTAGTGACGATGTCTGCCGTCGTGCTTATACATTATATCAAACTAAACAAAAAAATCCTCTATCATTTTGCAAATAGCCACGTAGATTTTTAATTATTAATTAAAGAAAATTGTTGCATAATTTTGCGCAATGTGCACCAATTTTTTAAAATTAATAACTAAAAATCTACATGGTCACTTGCAAAATGATAAAAGATTTTTTTTTCAGTTTGACCGAAAGTACGAGCACACAACGGTAAATGTCACTACAGTTCATCTATCACACATCATACAAATTTTCTTTAAATAATATCTCGATGGTTATTGCAAATATCGCAAAACAGTATGGACTTTTATATTCACTCGTTCTATGCCCTTACGAAAGATTGTGAAATCATACCCTAAATATTGATACTTTATGATACATAAAAAAAAAGAAGAGTGATAATTTCTATTTACAAAACTTTTGTACTTTTATACAAATATCTTACAAATCTTTCAATACAGTCTGTAGATCTTTATAGCCATCAAATAAACCAGGGGCTGTCCAGTCAGTGATCAATGCTAATTCAGGACGAATTTTAACCATTTCATTCCATTTTTTACCAGAAGTATTCCGCAATCTATTAAATAAGTCTTCCTCAAACTTAATTATTTTTTCTACCTAGTATTGCACCAATTAACACAATATGAAATACGTCTTAACACATAACAGGATAATTTTAGTAATATTATTTTAAATTACCTGTTTGAGATTACTGTGCAATTCTGTATAAGTCTCACCCAAGTTATCAGCTACATTGTAGACTAGTTTGGCAAGCATGTCAGTTTTTCTAAATATTCTTTCTCCTATGTCTATTGCATTTCGTAATACTCTCCGTAGCTTTGGGCTAAAAAAGCATATATATTATTATTTATTTTTATTATGATCTATAATTTTATATATATATAAATAGAAATTTAAATATTAAAACCATACTGTTGTTCAGGTAACATATTATCAGCCAATGCAACAGTAATCATTCTTGCATGATCTGCTAGAATTCTATAACCATAATCAATTTTGCCTGTATCATCACTATTAAATGTTCCCTTATATTCTGGAGCATTTGAGTATTTCTGTATTGCACGAAATAATGGCTGGAAAATATCTGTATCATAATTTGACGTTTTTCCTTGTAATAATGTAACTAATCGTTCAAGTCCCATGCCTGTATCAACATGATGTTTTGGTAAAGGTATTACATATCCGTTTTCAAGCCTAACATAAAATATCAAAACACTGAATAGCTATTGTATGATATAATTAATGAATTCTTTTGATATACATACAAAATAATATATATATTTAAAGTTAATATATAAAAAGTATCAGGATAATTATAAGATATATTAATCAAAGATATATTGTTTTGTATGATTTAAATAATTTAATATGTTAATCAAAGATATATTGTTTTATATGATTTAAGTAATTTCATGCATCTAACAGATCCAACAATAACATCAGAATGAATACAACTTACCTTTCATATTGTATAAAAACTATATTCCACAACTCCATAAGATCTGCATATCCTTTATTTACTCGTGCAGCTTCATTAGTAGATCGTCTAAAAAAATCTACATGTATCTCTGTACAAGGCCCACAAGGACCTGATATACCCATTTCCCAGAAATTGTCATATATATCAAATGGCAGAATTTTGCATTCTGGAAGACCAAGTCTTAACCAAATATCTTTACATTCTAGGTCAGGAGCTATGTCCAAATCCTTATTACCACCAAAATATGTTACATATAGATATTCTTTGGGTATACTATATACATTTGTTAAAAGATTCCAAGCATATAAACATGCATCTTCCTATAATAAATAAAGCATAATCAAATATTTTATATGCAATCTATTATATTTCTCAGAGAGTAAACACACAATATATATTGTACTATACCTTAAAATAATCTCCAAAGGACCAGTTGCCAAGCATTTCAAAGAATGTATGATGATAACTGTCGTTACCAACAACACTTAGATCATTGTGTTTTCCACCAACTCTGATACACTTTTGTGAATTTACAACTTTTGTCATAGGTGGTTCATAATAATCCAAAAATATACCTTTAAACTAAAGATGTTACATATATTTTAAGAAATACTTTTTAAATTCGCTAACAGATAAATTGATTGATAAATGATGAGAAAACCTACTTGATTCATGCCAGCATTGGTAAATGTAAGCGACTGATCAGTAATTGAAGACACAGGACTAGAACGAATAATACTGTGGTTTAGATTTTTTGTAAAATAATCTAGAAATTCCTTTCGGATCAGATGAGCGGATTTATTGTTTGTGAAATCGTTATACAAGCGAATTAATTTAAAGAAGATTATTCTCTTCGTTAAAAGATTGGCTTTTGCTGATAGATAATACATAATACACAGGAGATTAAAATAGTCTGATTTTACAAAATATTCCAATTATTCTTCTGTTAATCTAATTAGATACCATATGATTACAAAAATTTATTCAGAGCTTGCTTTCTAGAGACACATTCAAGGAGTACACTGCCAGCACTATTTTTCTTTCTTTCTCTCTCTCTCAATATTGATTCCAGGGCCAGCACTATTTAGTAGAGGGCAGTGATTCAATTTCAACTTCAATATTTGGCTCCAGGCCTCTCTAAGAGTTATGCCCCAACGCCATTTTTCCGACTAATGATATATTTCGAGAGTAAAGTCTTGGAAAATTCCAAGGCACGTTCCAAAAAATCACAAGGTCCCAACTTATTCAAACACGTCTTGTCGTGACGGCGGTTAGGCCGGGACTCTTATAGGGCAGTGATGGCATGGTCGAAGTAGTGTCGATCAATCGAAGCTGCTCATACAACTCTCGATTCCTAGTGAAGTACCAATGTCATAACATTTGAGGGTATCTTTGGAAGGAATACCAACATTTGTTGTTAAAGTACTAAGATAAACGTAAATTTTGTTGGAACCTGTTATGCGCCTTGTATTTAATATAACTCTGTCATGACTCGTGACGTCATACACGCGTATTACGACCTAAAGCCAGCGGCACATGATGCTTGTTTTCTTGCTGGATTGCTTGCTGGATGGAAATACTCTGTTCTAATTGGTGCATTTCTGAAGACGGACCAATCAAAATAGAGTATTTCCAGCAAGTAATCCAGCATGAAAACAAGCATCATGTGCTGCTGGATTAATCTTGGGACGATATCTTACGACCCTGGCATCACTGTGTATGGGTCATATAGTGTTAGCATCACAGATGTCTATACTAAACTAGATTGCTAACAAGGTCTTCGAACGTACATCGCGTAAGATTTCCGGTTGCATGCGAGAAAATGGCGGCGGTTTTATATGTGTAACGTGTTAGGGCTATCGCACACAAATTGACATAACTGCATATGCATAGCATAAGATCGTATGGACCAATGAGCATCGAATATTAAGCATCGAACACTAATATGGCGACTTAATACTCGATGCTCATTGGTACATACGGTCTTATGCTATGCATATGCAGTTATGTCAATTTGTGTGCGATAGCCCTTACGCTCTATGCACAATGCCAGGCAACAGGCAATAGGAATAGGCATTAGCCAATAGGAACAGGGAATAGAAATAATTGACCAATCCGAATTCCTATTCCCTGTTCCTATTGCCTGTTGCCTGGCATTGGGCATAGAGCATCACTTGTGTGAGTACTTACAATGTGTCAGCGTGACCAATAAATGACTGTTGTAAAACCAAAAATGCAGCATCTTATTACATCAAAAAATGTTGTAACAAAAAAATAGATGATATTGGACGTAATTTGCTGTGCTCATTTTCAACAAAAGAATTTTATGACTAAACGTAGTAAAAATATGTGGCGGTAGCGGCCATTTTCTCGCATGCACCGGAAACTCTATCGGACGCAAACCGTTATATGCTTTTAGATAGCCTGTTTACAATCTAGTTTAGTATAGACATCTGTGGTTAGCATGTAGAGCACATTTTTTAGTAATTTTTCAGTCTTTTAAAATAATTTTCGCGGTTACGAGAGTTCAATTTTGAAAGAGACATACATATTTTGCTTTGTATCGTCTTCTGGATGACAATGTGTGTTAGTGTCACTACTCCCTCAGTAGCACATCCAGAATTTTGAATATAATTTGTCAATATCCCAAAGTCGCGCCCATAACGTATAAATATAAGGTCTGGCTATGGCCGGTATTCATAGGCCGGTATTCATAGTCCGATCTTATATTTAAGATCATCTTAAGTACTATCTTAAGATGTCATGAACCAATCACAGAGCCGTATTCGTATCTTAAGAGGATGTATATCAGTTGGACACGGGGCAATCACAAGTCGCTGTTCCAAGGGACTCTACAAATGTCTCTAAGTACACAGTGCTGTAATTGGTTGTGTCCAAATGCACCGTGTCCAAGTGCACCGCTCCCATCTTAAGACATTACCCCCATCTTAAAACAGTCTTGAAATAAGATTCGACTACGAATAACGGCCATAGTCGAGTCTTATATTTAAGACCATCTTAAATTCATTCTTTAGTTAGTCTACGGATGATTTCAGCTACAAAGCATCTGAAGATAAACTTAAGACGGTCTTAAATATAAGATCCGACTATAAATACGGCCTATGAATACCGACCTTTGTGTTTTTACGGAATAGCGTTTAGTTCCGATCCACAATAGGTGTAGTAAGCTTTAAGCCTTAAGAAATTGACCAATCACAGTCAAATTTGAGGAGAATAATCGACTGTGATTCGTCAATTTCTTAAGGCTTAAAGCTTACTACACCTATTGTGGCACGGGACTTAGTGCTGCCCTCGCAAAGTAAATTCCCCGAATTCGGAACTAATATGACGCATAATGTGCAATTCAGTCGATAAATGTATAACTAATAATATAAATGTTAACAAGAACAAAATTTGAAGGTGAATATTATTCTTTTTTGTCATGAAATCAAAATATTGAGTAAATTAATAAGTGTTTTAAATAAATTTTTTCAATAACTTTACATTATCATATTCTAAATAATTTTATAAGTAAATAAATAGCACTATATTTTGTTAGAATGTTGCACATGTGTTGATAACATACTGAGTAGAAAAATACAAGAACATTTTTAAATTTTATAATGAGGCAAATGTCAAAAAGATATTTAAAAATATTGTAAACAAAAAGAAAAAGAGTATAACAAAATTTATAATAAATTTTATTTTTTTTTTATAACAAGAGCAATCTATCTTTTTCTTTATTACCTTCAAATTTTGTTTTTATTAACATTTAGGTTACTAAATATACATTTATCGATTGGATTACCCATTATGCGTTATATTATAGCGTGTTCGAGTGGCTGTGGGTTAATCGCTCCGGAAACGATTATTGACGTCACTGACTCTACTAGCCAATCATAAAATTTATATAAATTTATTTGAGTTTGTGACGTCAATAATCACTCCCGGGAGCTTATTACGGTTTTGTGTGAGAAGTGAAAATGCGAAAAGTGAACGAATTCATGAGATGTTGACCAATAAAATGATAAATATTCTAGGAAATTCGATCACTTTTCGCATTTTCACTTCTCACACAAAACCGTAATAAGCTCTCTGGAGCGATTAACCCTCAGCTACTCAAACACGCTATTAATTCCGAATTCGGAGACATCTACTTTGCGAGGACAGCACTAAACACTGTTCCGTAAAAATACAAAGAACCTTGGAAGCCCTAGTTCTTAGAAAATAAATAAGATGGCACCACTAATATCAAACTGTGACATGATATAGTTGAAGTTTACTTCATCCTTCTAACCTCTACGTATAAAGTTTCAGACAGATTAGTTAGGGCCTGAGTACAAAGATTGTCGCATCGTTTACGACAGTGTCGTTGACGTAAGTCAGTATTGGAAGTCAACGCACAAGGGTTGGCGTAGACGTATGCTGTATCAAATAGATTAAACGACACAATTGATGCAGCATATGCTACATCAATCCTTGTGCATTGACTTCCAACACCGACTTACGTCTATGACACTGTCGGAAACGATTGCGACAATCTTTGTGCTCAGGTCCTTAAGCGGGGTCTACAATAGAAGTCGTAAAGTCATAAGTCGTAGAAGTTGACCAATCGTGATCGAGTATGAGAAGAATAGTCAACCGCGATTGGTTAATTTCTATGTGTTTTGACTCTACGATTTCTATTGTAGACCCCGCTTTAATTGGTTTTGTTATGACAACTATCTAAAGTGAACTACTATTGCTTTCTTTTAAATATTAGTAAAATCGAGATTTAAGCAGTCATTAAATACTTGTTCTTAGAAGGCTTGAAGCCTACAGAAATCATTAAAGACGTCTCTTATAGAAATATCATACTAAGTATCATTTAAAACCAAAATAACGTTAGTGCAATCGGACAACTTAAAGACGTCTTATGTCCAGACGTCTTAAAGTCGACTTAAAGATGTCTTAAAGATATCTTATGTCTCAGTTTTGGACATGTGTGCTATCAGGTAAGTTATTCATGTTGTAAATTGCCGTTTATTGTTAAGAATTCATTTGAATTAATGAACAATTTACACAGACCTATTTTGACATTTAAATTCAGCTGTGTTTATAAATATATTTTGCTCAGTGCTGCCTTTAGTAAAACTTTTCTTTCACACTTTTAAATTTAGTAACTTTTAATATACTATATATATATATATATATATATATATATATATATATATATATATATACAATGTATTAGAAATATTTATACATTGTAAACAATATTATTAATTTTTTAATGTTTAAGATTAGTCTACTTGAGAATGAGGCATAGTATAAAACAATTTTTATTTAAAATTTTTGACTTTTATCTTTTTTAAAGATACAATCCTCTTTTCAATCATATAATCACTACGAGTCACCCTATATATCTCTAGTAAAACCACACAGACTTTTCTGGTTACCTGATAGAAAAAGATAAACGCTCGAGTAGAGTAGCAGATGAGGCGGCAGGTTTCGATGTATTTCGCATCGCACCTGGGTCCTTTCTCGACGTCTTGGCCTGCCTACCAGGACTTTGCTTTATGTGGACACTTTATGCCCCGATTGCGAGCGACACCGGAACGCTCTCAACTTCCCGCCACCGATCAGAGTCCTTTCCCGATCGCAAAACAACGCGAGAGAAACACAGTTTAATTTAAGATCTCCGAGAAATCACGCTGCTTGGCATGTTCCGCCTATCCTTGTGGTTTACCTAGTTGATGGCATATTTTAATAATCATATCCTAGATATTATGGCGACGACGACGAACTTCTTATATAGTGGATTATTTTGCCGCTGTCAAGCTATAACTTATAATTATTGTTGTCAAGTTTAATGCGAGATCGTACTATACAAAATTATGAAATTCGAATTAAAAAGGAGAATTGATATAATTTTTTCTTAATTATTAGGGTCAATATTGCAATGCACGCAAACCGCTCTTTACTTGAAATGGTCAAGGTAAATGTGTAAAGGAAATTGTTTAAACTACGCGTTCTCTTTGAGTTCTCTCAATGTGAATTTTGACGTAGTTGAATACGGTTGCATTTGAAATTCAAATCAAGTGGTAAGGTTTTACCACTTCTCTCTCAAGCAAAATGGTGCAGAATTTGGTGCAGAAATCACAGAGAATCTCGCTTTGTGCCCTTCGAATTATGGAAAGTGAATCTATGTTAACACGAAACAATTGGCGAATTTGATCGAACGAATTAAATGTTTGTTCGAGCGTTCGTCACACATAAATTTTTCCGTTCTTATGATATTTATTATTGCTTCAA